TGCCCTTGATTATTCTCATCTTTAATTGTCCAAGATGGGTTCCCACCATGCTCTTATTCCAACCAATAGAAAGAGGAAAGGCAAAGTGAAAAGCAAGCTCCTTTCTTTTAAAGGCATGAAGCGTTTTCCATATTGATTGTTCCCAGTTTATTGGACAGAATGTAATCATGTGTCTAATATATGACCATATCTAGCTATGGGAGAAGTTAAGAAATATAGTCTTCTTTCTCAGCAGCAATGACTCAAATAATATTATGGGTTTTTAAGTATCATTATTGCTAGAGATGAAGGAGAACATGGATATTAGTGGACAACATAGGATTTATTTAAATTACTTGACAGATTTCCCAGCACAGTGACATTGCCTCTTTCTGTCTCCTTTTTAGTTACAGGTATATTGAAAATTCTGAGTGGCATTTTCTCATTACTGGTAACTTTGTTAATTGGCAAAATCCTCCAGAAAGCAGCATACAAATAAGGAGTTATTATAATCTGACTCTGAAGGACTTATCCAAATGAAATAACACAAAAGGAGAAGCCATTCATTGTAGTGTTACCTGGGGGAGTACAATCGTAAAGTCTTGATATTTTAGAGTAGACCATGAGCCATCCCTTCCATTGGTAAGAACAGCTTGCTGGACCATGGGAGAATGAGCACCTCAGTCCTGAAGTGAGGACCGGGGCTGTGCAGTACTGTGGCCCTCCAGGGGTATGCACCATGCTGAGCTAGTAAGATACTGTTGTATGAGAGCTTGAAATGAGAGATGAAGAAACCAGAGGTGAGGAGGCAAGTTTACCGAAGTGTTTGAGGCAGTCTACAAACTCAGGCAATCCTGAAAGCCACCTTGTTCCTATTCTTCCTAATGCCATTAAAATAATAATAATGTGTAGAAACACAAAAATGTGTCCAAGATACTATTTTAGCTGAAATTAGAACAGAAAATAAGAATATTTCTCTATATAAACATGAGTAACAAATACATCAAAGGACATTCCCAAAAAACTGAAAAGATAATCCATAGAACATTTTTCACCCTGGAGATGAGAGAAAGTATTTGCAAATCATATATCTGATAAGGGTCTAATATCCAGAATATATAAAGAATTCCTACACCTCAACAACAAAAAGACAACTCATCTAAAAAGTTAGGAAAAAACTTGAATAACTCTTTCTCTAAAGATATGCGAATGGCCAATAAGCCATTATGGTTAACGTCATTTGCCATTTAGAAAAATGTATATCAAAACCAAAGTGAGATACCATTTCACACCTACTAGGTTTGCTATTTTTTGAAAATTGAAAATAAGTGTTGGAAAGAATGTGGAGATATTGGGACACTTGAACATTCATGGTGGGAATTTTAAATAGATCAGCCATATGGAAAACAGTTTGGTGGTTCCTTACACAGTTAAACTTAGAATTACCGCATCACCCAGTAATTCCACTCATCAACACACACACAAAAGAACTGAAATCAGGGAGTTAAACAGATACGTATACACAAATGTTCATTGCAGCACTATTCACAGTAGCCAAAATAATAGCCAAAATGTCCATCTTGGAAGAATGGAGAAACAATCTGTGATATATTCATATAATGGAATATTATTCAGCCATCAAAAGGAGTGAAGTTCTGGTACATGCTACAATATAGATCAACCTTGAAAACATGCTATGTTAAAGAAGCTACACACAGAAGGCCACATATTGTATGATTCCATTTCTATGGAATGTCCAGAATAGGTAAGTCCTTAGAGGCAGAATGCACATTGGTGTTTGCTGGGGGCTGGGGAAAGAGAGAAATGGTAAGCCACTGCTTAATGCATGCAAGGTGTCTTTTTGGAATAATTAAGATGTTTTGGAACTAGGTAGAGATGGTGGTTATACAACATTGTGAATGTGCTAAATACTAATGATTCACTTAAAAATGGTTCACTTGAAAATGATGAATGTTACACTATGGGAATCTCATCTTCATAAAAAAGTGATAAAAAAGAAAAGATAATATTGTGGGGGTAATTTGATTAGAAGCAGTTTCTAAAAGCATTATATCACCATTTATATATATATATATATATATATATATATATATATATATATATATATATATATATATATATGTGTGTGTGTGTGCTATATATGTATTATGTGTGTATGTATTGTTTTCGATTTGGGGTAAATATTTACATGCTTCCTAAAAAGAATGAAAATAATTCAGTCTGCAAGTAACAATTCTCAGAAAGTAAGTGTTAATGCATTCTATATGGAGACAGTGCCCGTGATAACGCATCCCTTGACAATACCACTTTGCATATCAAGTGACTGGCTCTTGTTCATCTCAGAAGTCTCAATTCTGTCATTTTCTCAACCTCAATTTAATGCAGTACTGCTCTTTATGCAGCTGAATTTTCTGGACCACACTTAGGACAGTTTAGCAGGATTTACTTGTAGTATCTTTAGAAAATATCCTCATTAATTCTTTTTTTTTTTTTTTTTTTTGAGACAGTCTCTGTTGCCCAGGCTGGAGTGCAATGGCATGATCTCAGCTCATTGCAGCCTCCACCAGCTGGGTTCACATGATTCTCCTGCCTTAGCCTCTCGAGTGCCTGGGACTACAGGCACATACCACCATGCTCAACTAATTTTTGTATTTTTAGTAGAGACAGGTTCACCATGTTGGCCAGGCTGGTCTTGAACTCCTGACCTCAGGTGATCTGCCTGCCTTGGCCTCCCAAAGTGCTGGGATTACAAGTGTGAGCCACCGCACCTGGCCTAATTCTTTTATTATAAATTTTACAGCATAAAACATAAGCCTAGTATAATTCCTCTTGGAAATCCATATAAGAATGAAAATTTAAAAACAAAATCCATTATTCTATTACCTAGAATAAAAGTGTTAAATTTTGGTTTTATACACATGAGCATACCTACACAAACAGTCATATAGATGCATTTTTGGCAACAAATAGTATTAGGATGTATGTGCTATATACTTTTCACTTAATATTAGAAACAATTTTCTCTGTCATTAAATATTCAAAAATTGCATTTTTAATATATAGCTGTACCATAATTTATGCAGAACCTCTATTTTACTTTTTTTAATTTTTAATTTTTAAAGTTAATTTTATTTTCATTTTAAGTTCCAGGATACATGCACAAGATGTGCAGGTTTATTACATAGATAAACCTATGCCATGGTGGTTTGCTGCACCTATTAATCCATCACCTAGGTATTAAGCCCCACATGAATTAGCTATTTTTCCTGATACTCTCCTTCCCACCGCCCTCCCCCCAGCAGGCCCCAGTGTGTGTTGTTCCTCTCCCTGTATCCATGTGTTCTCATTGTAGAACCTATTTTATATGTCTAGTTTTTTCCCAATATTTCTGAAATCCAGGCCTTCAGTGTGCTCCATTATAGCCACACCTTCACTGCAAGGTTATATTATTAAAAATAAATTCCTAGAACCAGAAATATGTATTCAAAAGGAAAATTTGGAAGCTTTTGACATGTTTTGACAAACTACCTTCTTGTTATGTTGTCTGAATTTACCCTTCCAATAGCACTTTGTGAGTTTATGCCAGCATTATTCCACATCCTTGGCAAAATTGGGGTTTCTTGCCCAAAGTATTATTTTATACACATTTAAAATTTTACTTTTGATGTGACAATACATAATATGGCTCAAATATCAAAGAAACCACTGGGTATACAGGAGAAAGTCTCTCCTGCCCACATATACAATCCCCCTCTGAAGATAAATATTCAGTTTCTTACATATCCTCCTAGAATAATTTATGCATTCATATGTACAGTATTCTAAACACAGTGTTCTGAACCTGGTATTTTCCATTTATGTAAGATATATTCCACTTATCTATACATCTTGAATGCAGACAGCTTCTTCATTCTTTTTTATAGGTGTACACTTTTCTGTTGTTAAATTTTACATACTTAACCAGTCCCCTTTTGACTGGGTAAGGCATTTAGATTGCCTTTAACCTTTTGCTGTTCATACACTGTAGCTGTGAATTACCTTCTAAATATATCACTTCATCCACAGACAAGTGTGTATCTGTGTGTGTGTGTGCACAGCTGCATACATGCACATGTGTCTGTGTTGAATTTCTGAGTTACTAGGTTCAAGACTTTTTAAAATGTTTTTGTTCATTTTATCAAAAAGAGAATGAGGGTGAGAAAGAAAGGAGACAAAAGAGAAAAAATTAGAAAATTTAGTGAGTCTGGTGGTTTTTAAATGGTGGGAGATGTCACATATTTTTCCTAAATTGCACAGCTCTGAAGTTTCTGGTTTTCTTCCACTATTCTTTCTTGTCTGTTTAAGTGTTTGGAAATTTCAAAAGATTAGGGGCATGAAAAGGGATGGGTGCTAAAAACCTAATAGCAGAATTGCCTCCAATCCTATACGAGCTGTTTTACCATCAGCTGAATTCTGATAAAAAAGAGCAAAGGCCTCTCAACAGAGAGAGCTAAGCCTTTAAGCCCTGGAGGTGAGGTTACACACCTTACATCTTCAGAAATATGAAATGAAAATATGTTTAGAGATGGAAGATAATTTTCCAAAGATATGATCATCCACAACATAAAGGATCAAAATTTCAAAACCTCAGTTACTTGCCTTTATTTGACAATGATTATTTTTTCTAGAAAATACTGATTTATGTTACATAAGCCTTAAAAATAACATGCAAAGTACACAAATCAAAATTGTATAGCTTCATGACTTTTCACAAAGTGAACACATACATGCAACCACCACTCCAATCAAGTAACAGAACATGACCAGCATCCCATTAGCCTTCATTATTCCCACCCAAACACTAACCCCAAAAGTAACCACTTTCTATCACTATCAATTAATTATATGTGTTTTATAACATCACATAAAGGGAAAATGTAGGATGTATTCTTCTGTCTGATTTCTTCCATTCAACATTATACAGAATTCATTCATGATTTTATTTTTTTTTTTCTTTTGTGTGGCTGCATTCATTCCACAAATATTTACTGTGCAGGTACTATATGCTGGGTGCTATGCTAGCCACTGGAAACACAATGCCAGTGATCCAGATAAGGTCCTTGCTCGTCTAGAACTTGCACATGGGGAGATTGTCTTTCCACGCTGAAAATGAATATTAGAGTTAAAAAGTCATTGCTTTCCAGGGAGACAACTGAGGTTTGTCAATGCAGGTAGCTCCAAGGTATTTATCTTTCTAGAAAGGCAAAGATATGTTCAGAATAAAGTGAACTTCAGTGAATATCTTTATCTTTACTTACATAATCATTTACCTGCTATACAAAGGCAGAGGCCTTCAACATATAAATCTTGGTTACATTTTCAGAGCTGAATTCAGTGCAGCCCCTGGACTAAATAACTATAATATGTCTGCCAGTCAAGACTCTGGGGAAAGGATGATGGCTGTATCTTTGAAATGCTATTTTAAACACACTTTTTTTGCAGACAAATTCACAGAAGAGTAATGGCTAAGCAATGTTTTCACTTTCCTCTTCTTTCTTTAAATTATACTTTTTGCCCCTTTTTTCAGTGTAGGAAAGGGATTGGGAGATACATTCCATCTGATCAGTGAAGATTTGGAAATAACCCAGAAATCAAAAGAGGATATAGATGGCATTATTTCAGAAACCCACACAAAGTCAAAAATTCTAGTGTATATATATATTAACTTTAGAGTTGATAGGTATTATTCACATTTGTAAGCAATGTTTAATAGTTTAAATTAGTAACACATTAGTTAATTAAATACGTATATTAATCCTAAAAGCTTAACAATTTTAAAAGCATTACAAATAAATCTAAAGTGCCTTTTACCTGTCATTCGCAAACGCGTCCTCTCTTCTGTTCACCAGCTAAGAATTTGGAGTACTTCCTTCTAGACCTTTTTTATGTCTTTATACACAAACATGTGTATGTATGTTATTTTTCCTATAAACGATATACATATCAAAATGCAACTTTCTTTTTTACCATCAACAATATTTTTTGAGATCTTGAAAGCTGATGTATACCTGGTTCACTCTTTTGAACTGCTGTATAGTGTTTCAATATATGAGCGTGCCATTTTATATAATGTAGCCATTCTTTGAATGAGGACAGGCAGTCTCCAGATTTTCACTCTTATAAGCAATGCTGCTATGAACATCCTTGACATGAGTCCTTGAGCACATAAGAAAGTATCCCTCTAGGGCATACATCAAGAAGTGAATTGATTATGCCATCACTTCTTTAAAAGAGCATCTTGGCCCTTAACGCTAAGGAAGCTCTTGAAGGCTGTGTAGATCTCATTTGTATCTGTGTGACAAGAATCCAGCGTAGATGGGTGGGACTTAATGACTGCCTTCCATGACACTAGAGTATAGGTCCTGGGTTTCCCAATATCTTTCCACTTCTCAATCTCTTGGTTGGTTCCTTTCTGCCTACCAATGATTTAGAAGGCAGACGTCCTAAAGCCTTTATTCTTGGCCTTCTCTCATTTCTCTGGCATCTTTCCCTCGGTCTGAAGCTCTCAGCCCAAGCTACATATCAGAATTAATGGGAGAGCTTTTGAATATAACTAGTGCCCAGACCCACTCTTCAGAGATTCTTGCTTAGGTGGTCTGCAGTGGAGTGGGTTCCACATAATCATATTTTTTTTTCCTCAAGACTCTTTGTGTCACATTAATGTGAGGCTAGAACAGAGAATCATTGACTTAGGCTGGTGGTTCTCCTAGTGGAGCTCCCCAACCAGCAGTATTCGTATCTCCTGGGACTTGTTAGAAGTACAGACTCTTGGGCCCTGCCCCAGACATCATGAATGAAAAATTCTGGAGGATGGGGCTGTACAACTTACGTTATAACAAGCCCTTCAGATAATTCTGATGCATGCCAAATAAAGTTTGAGAACCACCACCTAGGGTGATCTGATGCATTCCCCCTGACTTAGTAACCATACAGAAAAGTCCTTTTTGTCTCACCTCCAACCTAGACTCCTCTCCTGGACACCAACTGCCTCACTGACATTCCACTACAGTGTCTCTCCAATATCTCCGCCCTATTCCCGCCTTATCAAACATTTTTTTCCTCAGTCTTCTCCATCCCAGTGAATGACACCATCCTCCAAGCTGCTAGAAGCAGAAACTTGGAGTTTATTTTTAAGATCTTTTAAAATACATAATGCCTTCAGGAAGCTTAAAACCAAGAAGGTACAAAAAGCTGAACAATGACAGTCTCTCTCCCACCCTTATGCCCTACTATGGACTGAACTGTGTTTCCCACAGAGTTCATGTGTTGGAATAAATTCTAACCCCTAACCCCCAGTGTGACTGCCTGTGGAGACAGGGCTTTTGAGAAGGTAATGAGATTAAATTAGATCATAAGAGTGGGGCCCCAATCCAACATTAGTGTCCTTAAAACAAGATGAAGAGCCAGGAGGAAAGGCCATATGAGGATGCACAAAAACGTGGCTGTGTGCAAGCTAAAGAGAGGGGCCCCAGAAGAAATCAACTCTGCTGTCACTTTGATAGTAGAGTTGGCCTCCAGATCTATGAGAAAATAAATTTCTGTTGCTTAAGCCACTTAGTCAGTGCTATTTTGTTATGGTAGCCTGTGATGTTTAATTTTATGTGTCAACTTGACTGGGCCACAGAGTGCCCAGATATTTGCTCAAATACCATCATGGGTGTTTCTATAATAATATTTTTGGTGAAATTAACATTTAACATTTAAATAAGTAGACTGAATAAATCAGATCCCACTCCTTAATGTAGATGAGCCTCACCTAATGAGGCCTGAATAGAACAAAAAAGCTATGCCTTCTGCAAGTAAGAGAATTCTTCCTGCCTGACAGCTTTCAAACTGAAACATTGGCTTTTTCATACCTTAGGACTCAACTGAAACATCATTTCTTCCTGGGTCTCCAGCCTGCCAGCCTTCAGATGGGAAATCCACCTTTGGCCATCCTGGATCTCAGGCCTTTTGACTTAAACTGGTGTTATACAATCAGCTCTCCTGGGTCTCTAGCTTGCCAATTCACCCAGCAGATTTAGGGACTTTCCATCCTTCATAATCATGTAAGTCACTTGCTTAGAATAAATCATATATACATGTATACACACACACATACACATATAAGTGTATAAATGTGTGTGTGTACACACACACACTGTTGGCTCTGTTTCTTTGGAGAACCATGACTAATCCCTAATGTACAACCTTAGCAAATTAATGCATGCCCCATCTTCCCAGTTCCCCATCTTCCTCATACAGTAACCACTATCCTTAGTTTCTTACATATCCTTTCAGAGTTTCTTTAGAATATATACACAAATAAAATTATGTAATACTATTTTTCTCCAGTTTTTATATATACATTCTTTTTGCAGATGCCTTATATTTCATTGTCTGCTTAACTCCTGATTTGTTCAATCAGCCTGCTATAATTTAGACTTTCGTTGTTTTTGACATTAGAAATGATACTGCAGTAAAGAACCTTGTGCATGCCACTTTCCACATGTGCAATTATATGTGATATATATAATACAGACTGCTGGGTCAAGGGGTATATGATTTTGCAGTTTTGATAAATGTCAAATTGCCTCCTTAGAAGTTATATCAACTTACTCAACAATGCCTAAGAGTTCCCCCAAAGCCTTAGTAATTGACTGTGTTTCTCAAACTTTATAGTTTGCCTATTTGGTTCCTGAAAAGCTCACATTGGTATAGTTTTATGAGCACCTTTTCACAAGTGTGTGCTGTTTGTATTTCCTTTCTTGTGAGCTGTCAATTAGTATCTCTTGCAGGTTTTTATTGTAAATTAAAGGAAAAATCTCTCTTTGTGCTATGAACTGAAAATATTTTTTCCTCAGCTTGTCATTTAACTTTCAATTTTGATTATGATGTGCTGTTGTTTGAATGTGTCCGTCAAAAAGCATATGTTGGAAACTTAATCCCTAATGCAAAAGCACTGGGAGGTGGGGCCTCATGAGAAGGGATTAGGTCACGAGGACAGAGAGAATCAGATAATGCTGTTGTCAAGGGAGTGGGTTCATTATAAAAGGGAGCAGTTTAATCTCCTTTCTCTTTCACTCTCCTCCCCTCTCTTGGCCTTTTGCCATGTTATGACACAACAAGAAGACCCTCTCAAGATGCTGGCACCTTAATGTTGGACTTTCCAGCCTCCAGAACCATAAGCCAATAAATTCCTATTCACTATACATTACCCAGTCTGTGGTAGTCTGTGATAGCAACACAAAATGGACCAAGACATAATGTTTCTTATTATGCAGAATGTGTTTGTTTATAATGCAGTTAAATATAACATTTTTTTTCTTTTATGGCTTGTGAATTTTGAGTCATAGTTAGAAGGCCTTCCTTATGCCACAGATGTAAAGTAATTATTCCTTTCTATTTCCTCCTAAATCAGTTTTGGTTTAATTTTTTACATTTATTTATTGATCCATTTGATATGGGTCAAGTATGTACTTAAAGTATGAAGTACAGATTCAACTTTATGATTATTTGTGTGGGTATGTGTTTTACCAGATGGCTACCAACTCATTTCTGGTAGCATATATTGGGTAGTCTATAGTTTCCCAATCAGTTTGAGAAGCCATCTCTATCAGAAACTAAATTCTCACAGTTATATCTCTTTCTGGATTTTCTACTCCATTCCATTGGGTTTTCTGTCCATTTACAATCCAGTATCACCCTACTTATTTATTGTGGCTCTAAATTCCCTATTAATATCTGGCATTAAAGCTAGATTTTCCATATCGTTCTTGATTTTCAAAGTTTTTTGAGATGTTTTTGTTTATCTTCCCAAATAAAATTTTGAATTAATTAGTCTCATTCAAACAGAACGAAATAACAGAAATAAATTGTTGGTATTTTTATTTCTCGTCATTTTATAAACTGTCTTAGAAAGAACAGGCATCTTTGTGATATCCAGTCATCCTAAGCATACAGTGTCTTTCCATTTACTCACATCTCCTCTGAGGTCTTCATTAGTGTTTTAAAACATAATTCATATAGGCTATGTAGTATCTTGTCATGTCTATTCCCAGCGATTTTGTTGTTGTTGTTTATGGAGATTTTATTATTTTATATTCTTTATCTGGATGTTGTTTGTATATAGGAGATAGAAATATCTGTATTATAATTTTCAAATTCATTCCTGATACTCCCTTACTCTCATCCCCATCATAACATACCTCATCATGTTCTATTAATCCTACCTTTAAAATATACTTTACGTGTGTCTGATTCTTGCCACCGATACTAACAAACACCACCCTAAGTTCAAGCCACCTCGATGTTTCATCTGGACGGCAGAATAGCCTCCTTGACACACAGCAGCCAGAATGATCTTTTAAAAACACAAACGGCATCTTGCTATGCCCCTGCCTAAAATATTTCCATGGCCACTCCTTCTACTCTAAATAAAATCAAAGTCCTCACCTTAAAGGCGCTGTATCAGCTGACTGCTGGCTCTCTCAATCCCATTCTTTTATTTGTCTGTTTCTTTATTTTGTAAATTTTAAAACTTTAAATAAAATTTGCGGCTATATAACAGTTGTACATATTTATGGGATACATGTGATGTTTTGAAATAAGCATACACTGTAATGATCAAATCATGGTAACTGTAATATCTGTCACCTGAAACATTTATCATTTCTTTGTGTTAGGAACATTCCAATTCCACTCTTCTAGTGATTTTGAAATATAAAACCCCATTCTAAATCATTTCCTCCTCATTCAGAGAACTGTTGGTGCAAGTGCTTCTTGGGTTCCAAAAAACTCCAACTTCTTTCCTAGCTCAGACCTGGCCCTGCTGTTCTCTTTGTTGGGAATATTTTTCCTGCTGTTCTTTTCAGTCCTGGCTCCGTCTTATTCTCTACGTTGCCATTTGCTTATTACTTGTCAAAGAGATTTTCTCTGTTCATATGATCTACACTATCTCTCTTTTAATCTCTTTTATAATTCTTAGAACAATATTTAATTATATACTTGTTCATGTATTAGCTTATTTTGTGCTTCTTTTCCCCACCAGACCGCGAACGCCTCTGCTATCTGCAAAGTGCATAGCACTCGGTAAGCGTCTGAATAATGTATTTATTGAATGAATAAACAAATGTCTTTCTTGTGTACTAGTCAAGGGCTGGAAAGATTATATTTTTCCCTGTTAATCAGCTATTATTCTCCATTCGTGTCTTAAATCCAGGGTTACCGTATATCCAATGCTTATAGTTCTAAGTCACAAGTTTCCCTCAAAAGCCTGACTCAATCATCATAAATATCTTCCTTGTATTTATTCTCATATATACAAAATATATAAGGTTGTTTTCAAATAATGAAACACATGTTAAATGTTACAGAAAAAATTAGCGCTGTATATAATTTATGAGAAAAGTTTTCCCTAAGGGTAGTGATACCATCATATATATTTTTAATATATTATCTGTATATTGACTAACTTAGTTTTTCTCATTAAAATTTACTATATTCTTGTTGTAAAAATAACCAAACAATATAAAAATCGGTGTCACTGAAATGTAGGAAGTGTAAAAGCGCTCCAAAATTCTTACTCCAGAGAGAACCACTGGTGACAGTTTAATGTATATCCACCTTCTTAGACATTTTTTCTCTGTATATCATATTTTAAGCACAGGCTGAGATTTTGTTCTTGCTGTTTTATTTCATTTCTATTTCATTTTTACTACAGTAGGACACAATTAGACTGACAACACTATGACTTGCTTGCTGAATAATAGATTTTAGACATATTTATATGCTAAATATACAGCTCTTTCCTTCTCTTT